AAACAAAACAAATTAATTTATTCAATATGTCTTATATTTATTTTAAAAAAATTAATTTTAAGGAATCATAGAAAAAACCATTCAGTGATCTCATTGAATTAAAAAGAAAAGAAGCCTTGCAATACACATTGTTTGAAAACCATGGATATAAGTGTGGTTTTATTTCCAGGAAGGTCATCTGGACCATGCCACGGTGATAGAACCTCCTGGGTCGAGGTCAAGGCACACCAGGGACACAGATAAAAAAAGTCACTCTGTGTATAGGTCAGTTGATGGTCATGAGGATATTGGAAGTGTTGGAGTGGTGTCACCTGACCAGAGCAGTGGATCTGAGCTAGTGAAAAGGTCAACTTGGCATTGATGTTATTGTTTCAAAATGTACTCTATTCTGAATAATGTTTATTAAAGTGCTTTTAAAAAATATTAAAAGGAGGTAAAAAATATATTGCAATAATTAATTAAAATTGACCAATATCATTGAAATTCTCTTATGACAAAAAGAAGAAAAATTCATAGTGAAAGTTGTTGTCATTACACCAATTTTTTTTGCAGCTTAAGTTCAGGAAATGTGATTTTACTCCAGTGACTTTATACAAAACTAATTAAATAGACTGTAATTTTTGTGCTATCTATTTATTTCTTGTTATAATTGATATTTCTTTCCTATTAGTTTTGCCAGTCTTCTGTTAAAATATGAGTTAACTCCCAAGTCAAATGGACCTGCCACGGACAAGTCTATTAGTAAAGAAGATCAAAACAGGGCTTCCTTGAGGGAGAGATTAAAAAATGTGTTGGAGAGACAAAGTGACTTTTCAGCCTTCCCAGGAAGCAGACATCATGAATTTCTTGCCAGTGATGATGATGATCATGATGATGATTTTGTTGAAGGTAGAGAGAAAACACAATTTGTAGTAGAATAGTAGGGAGAATACAAAAAATATCACCATGCCATGCCCAATAAAAAAAAAATAGGCACTCAGAACAACTGAATGACTGAAAAACAATAGCTTTATAACATATATATATATATATATTTTAAAAATGAATTTGTAATTTTTGTTCAATCTAGTACACATTTACTTATCATAAACATGTTGGTATTCATACAAAATTATTATTCAAAAACAAATTGTACTTATCATTCATTTCAGCTGCCTATCACATTATTTAGTCATACAAATGGTTGTTGTTGATCAAGAGAAATTGTATTCTCACACAAACAGTGAGCGGCACCTTTGAATCAGTAAATGCAAATCCCAGTACATTGTTTAGCACCACAAGATTATCCTTATTTATTTTCTCTTGAACTCAGTACCTGCCGTGTTTGAAAATAAGAGCAAGTGGAAAGTGGAAAAAGGAAGAGCTGAGAGAACAAGCGTTGATGATGGAGACAAAAAGCCAAGCAAAGATCAAAAGATGAAACATTGGCCAGGCTTGTCCACAAACATCTGGGCATATGAAGAAGCAAGGAATAGATCTCACAAGTTTGACAGACACCATCCCAGGGCAAAACGTCAAGTGGCCACAGACTGGACATCCAGTTTAATGCCAGGATACTTTGAAGGGGATGCAGGAAAAACTGTTGTGAGAAAAGATGGAAACTATGTGGTAGAGGTACATAAATTTAAATCCTGAAATAGCCGGGTTTGATTTAAATCCTAATGATGAGGGTTGGAGACAACTAGTTTTTATACTGTACACACAAAACATTAGGTTAAAAAAAATGCCTTTTTATAGTATTATTGAATATCCAATCAGGTGATGACCATGGTAGATGCTCGCACTTACGAAGACTTCAACTATGACTGGATGGCACTGCAGATTTACTTGTTACACTTTTGGCAGGGGGTAAGTTTGAACAAAATCACAGCCATAGCATGTCATGAGACACAAATGATTAAGACAAATATTATCAAACATGAACAGCTCTTACCAGTAGGGACAGAAAAAAAAAAAAATAATGCCGTTAATGAAAAGACAATTGAATTTTGAGTGCAAATTATTATTTTTATCTCCATTGATTTCAGCTTCTGGGTTGAATGTTGTTGTCCAGCTTTCTTCACAATTCTAAAACAAAAAAATAATAATATAGAACCAACCCCTAAAAACAACTTTTTTGATATAAATCCTTAATATGCATTTTTGTGCGACTTAGCGATGGCTGAAGAAGTCATTGCATCCTGTTTCCTTCATCTTCCCCTTGAAAAACAGGAAAAATAGATTTTTGGGGGGTTGGGGTGGGGCTGAAAATTTGATCTATGTGATAAGTTTCAGCTCGATAGGATGATGGAAGTGGGCAATTTAGCCGTCTGAAGATTTTGCCACAAAGAAACACATGCAGAAACACATGAACAAAAGTGAATTTAATATAAAGGATTTAAAAAAAAAAGAATAAAATTATAATTCAGAGCAGGGTGTCTTAGTCTTAAATCACAGATGCTAAAGTCACTAGGAATTATATATTGTCGTAGTGACTTTATCATGCCCTATTATTCTTCCCAATTCTCTATCATTCTCGAATTCTGTATCTTCAACAACAGGGTTTCTGAGTAAATGTTTCTATCCATAACAGGTCAATGCAAGATTTCAAGACATTGGGGATCCAAAAGTGCGCCTCAAAGTTAAATCTATCAACAAAGTGGCGGTAGGTCGACTGTGGCTTGTACTCTTACCAATGTGGCAATGGCAGTGTATATTTTATGTCCTTGCACCCAATGATTGATCAAAACATACTTCTACTAACTGAGTTTGACTGACAGCTAATTGGAGATTGTGAAATTCTTTCACTCCAATCAAACAAGTCATCTGAAAAAACTGCACAAGTGGGGAGAGGGGTAGTGCTGATATAATGATGCACTTAACGGGGCAGTAATATTAGATATCTATCTATCAGAAAGGTAGAAAATTCTGTCACCTGTGCAATTTGTTTTATTACTGAAGACTGAAGTAACCAAATTTTGATTGGAATTTTATTTTTTTAAAAATCATGTGACAGCAAGAGCATTAGATGAATAATTTTATCATTAAATTAATGTAATAATTGAAAGCACATAAAATATAGGTGACACAAGCATCAGGAAACATTAGGGTGAATGGAAATCTTTTAGCATTCTTAAAGCTCTAAAATTCTTAAAACTATTCAATGAAATACTTCTCTATCTTTTGGTAATTTAAATAAAACAAATTTGAATACAACATGAAGATTTTATGAATAATTTTTTAAAATTATACAATTTAAGTAAAAAGATTTAAAAGAATACAATTTTCTAAAAGTTTTCAGGGTATCAACCATTCATCGAAAACAACCGCATCGACAACAGCACAGGCCGTGTGGATGTGAATGGGCTGTTGACAGAATTTATGACCTACATCAGCAATCATTATGAAAGTAACCCAGCACTCCCTGATCATGACATTGCCATCTTACTTACTGGGTTAGTCTTTCTCAACATTGCCAGTATAACAATATAAATTAAGCTTTAATAATAATTATTCATAATACACAAGTAAATGTTTCGGCACATGCCTTCATCAGTACAACAACAAAACATTTAAATAAGTATAAATTAAATTTACATAATTTATATATACATATACCCTAATTAAAAAATAAAAAAAATAATTAAACAAAAAACCAGACTTGTTTACTTGTGTATTATGTATATTTATTATTAAAGCTTAATTTATATTGTTATATTGACACAAATTGTTGGTGTCTAATTAATCTATTTTAAAGCTTTATCGCAGTTAAACACTTTTTAATCATCATTGCCATCTTACTTACTGGGTTAGTCTTTTGACATTGCCATCTTACTTACTGGGTTAGTCTTTTGACATTGCCATCTTACTTACTGGGCTAGTCTTTAGACATTGCCATCTTACTTACTGGGTTAGTCTTTTGACATTGCCATCTTACTTACTGGGTTAGTCTTTCTCATCATTGCCATCTTACTTACTGGGTTAGTCTTTTGACATTGCCATCTTTAGTCTTTTGACATTGCCATCATACTTACTGGGTTAGTCTTTCTCATCATTGCCATCTTACTTACTGGGTTTTATCTTTCTCATCTTCTTGCTTGAAATTAATTTTAATATGGTGGGAGTTGTATAGCAAGTAGGGGGAGCAAATATTGCTTTAACCCTCTGTTAGCCATTTCTTGCTGTTTCTTTCCCTTCTTTTCAACAAAACAACTGATAAAAAAGAAACTGAGTATCACTTATAAAAATCCAATCTTTCCTTTTATACCACTGCCAACATTTTTTTATCCATTTCCAAGTTACCGTTTAATTTTTTTCTTACTGGTTTGGTCACCAGACGGGTTTAGGATGGGGGACCTTCTAAATGCAGAGTTTTTAGCTTCACAGTTCATTTACTTAGTCAATTATTTTGTTTGCCAGAGAAGATTTGTGCAAGAAAAAGGCAGATGGAACTTGGTCCCAGAAATCTAAAGGTAGGAAGTATTCTTAAAAACGTGTTCCAGTTTGTGAAGTAAAAAATATTTAAATAAATAGATTTCATGCTGTGGTGGTACATCTTCTGATAAATTATGAAAGTATGTGGTATCTAAATAAAGAATAGAAATATAGGGAGTTAAATATTCGAAGCCCATTGCTTCCCACTTCCTCATCAATTTTGTTATGGGTTCCACAAATGAACAGGTTTGTAGTGTAAAGAATTAAATTGCTTCTGAACATTTATAGGCCTTTGAATCTTATGTAAGATGATTTGTGACATTGTTTTTCATCAACACTTGCAGTTTTTTCTATTACCACACCAGGTTATTTTTATTTTAAAGTCAAATTAAATTATGACACAAAAAAATCATCATGCAATAGGGAAGATTTTTAAAAGTACAAAATTAAAAGCCTTAAAAATATTTGATTAATCACCTGAATAATCACATGAAAAGTTTACCCTAATGTTAACTTTTCAATCGATTCCATTTCTGTGTTTATCTGAAGCAGCCTCAAGGTGTGTGAAACTATTTTCTTTTCTTTCAGGGATTGCTTTTGTGAGAGGCGGCTGTATTTCATCACGTCGATTTCTCAACCAGAGTTACGATGTCGGTGTTGTTGAGGTGGGTCGCGGCTTCAGAGGGATTCTAACTGCAGCACATGAAGTGGGTCACCTGTAAGTTTCTTTAGAAATTTAGTCTTTGATTTCATCCCCGATTAACGCTATGTTGTTATGCTGTTTAACAGGTGTAAGTATAATTTAATATTGTATTTAGTAAAAAATTGTTTTTGAGGAATTTTGAAAAGTAAGATTTTATTTACCTATTTATTTCCTTTTGCAAGGCTAGGTGCCTTCCATGATGGTGAGAAGAACTCTTCATCTTGCTCCTCATCCAGTGGCCATCTCATGAGTCAGGTATGGGCTGACCCTTACCTCTACAACAGGTTCTCTAACTGTTCCAGACAGAACTTCAAACATTTCATGGAAAAGTGAGAATCCCAACAAAGAGAAATGTGTATCTATAAATTAATGCTCTCTGGGACCTAGCATAAGTTCAACAGATTATTCAGTCTCAATCCACAAGCCCTCTTCAGTCTCAGTCCACAAGCCCTCTTCAGTCTCAGTCCACAAGCACTCTTCAGTCTCAGTCCACAAGCCCTCTTCAGTCTCAGTCCACAAGCCCTCTTCAGTCTCAGTCCACAAGCCCTCTTCAGTCTCAGTCCACAAGCCCTCTTCAGTCTCTGTACACAAGCCCTCTTCAGTCTCTGTACACAAGCCCTCTTTAGTCTCTGTACACAAGCCCTCTTAGTCTCTGTACACAAGCCCTCTTTAGTTTCTGTACACAAGCCCTCTTCAGTCTCTGCACACAAGTCCTCTTCAGTCTCTGTACACAAGGCCTCTTTAGTCTCTCCACACACGCCCTCTTTAGTCTCTGTACACAAGGCTTCTTTAGACTCTGTACACAAGCCCTCTTTAGTCTCTGTACACAAGCCCTCTTTAGTCTCTGTACACCAGCCCTCCTTAGTCTCTGGACACAAGCCCTTTAGTCTCTGTGCACAAGCCCTCTTAAGTTTCTGGATCACAAGGGGAAGAAGCAAATAGAAAAAGAAGACAGCTAATCAATAAATTAGACACAGGCCCCTGCTTCAATGTGGAGTTATTTCTGATGACCCATCCCTCTGTAGCTAAAGAAGCGTTGGTATAAAAGTAGAATAACATATCATCAGTCTTTCCTTTACCCCTCTTGGCCAAATGTATTAATAATGCTCATGAACATTGTGTGTTCCAATAATAAAAAGTGTTGGACTGCGATAAAGCTTTAAAATAGATTAAGAAGACACGAATAAATTGTGTCAATAGTACAATATGAGTTTTTATTAAAGCGTAACTCATATTGTACTATTGACACAATTTGTTCGTGTCTTATTAATCTCTTGTGTTCCAATAAGTATTGAGTAATCATTTTCATAATGGATTTCAAATTACAATATTTCAAGCAGTGTTAAACATGATTTTCTATTATGGTAAAAGACTTGATATGTTTCTATTGCTGTATGATCAAAGTCGCTGGGCAAATATTGTTCACATCTGTTCTCAACAATCATTGTGAGAATTTTCTCCCTCTAGAGAGTTTAATGTTTTTTTATTTATAATGACTTAATTGAATCTAATGAACAGTTCATCATCACTTCATTCATTCTAACAGCCAGCAGCATCAAGTCAGCTCATTATCATTTATCATTATCAATTTGACAAACATGCCCCTTTGACATAACATTGGAATTTGAATACTTCTAACAGTCTGTGGTATTCTGAATATCTGTACAACATTTAAATACTCCAAACAGTACGTGGTATTCTGAATGTCTCCTGAGTTCTGACTCCAACTATACCACAGGTTATGAATTTCCTCCCCATTGGGCAGGGGAGGTGTCCTCAATAGAGGACCAATGTCACCAATACATAGAGGGAATACCTTGCGTGGTAGGTTTGATAGTATAGGCATGTCAAGTGTGCTGTCGGTGTGTGTTCTCATGTGTCTGTGGGGTGTGTGTTCATGTGTATCTGTGGAGTGTGTGTTCGTATGTATCTGTGGGGTGTGTGTTCTCATGTGTATGTGGGGGTGTGTGTTCATGTGTATCTGTGGGGTGTGTGTTCATATCTGTGGGGTGTGTGTTCATATCTGTGGGGTGTGTGGTCGTATGTGTCTGTGGGGTGTGTGTTCGTGACATAGACACCCCACTGTGTTCTCATGTGTCTGTGGGGTGTGTGTTCATGTGTATCTGTGGGGATGTGTGTTCGTATGTGTATGTGGGGTGTGTGTTCATGTGTATCTGTGGGGTGTGTGTTCATGTGTATCTGTGGGGTGTGTGTTCATGTGTATCTGTGGGGTGTGTGTTCTGATGTGTCTGTGGGATGTGTGTTCATATGTATCTGTAGGGTGTGTGTTCGTATGTGTCTGTGGGATGTGTGTTCGTATGCGTCTCACGGGTGTGTTCATATGTGCCTGTGGGGTGTTGTCTCGATAGGTCTACTGAGATTTTAGTAGTTTGAGGAATGCATGTGGATATTTTTAGACAGATCTGTTTAGGATGTTCATGTATTGTCTTTGTCATCTGACTGTTATGGAGTAGCCACTTCTAGTTTACCCTCTGATGTATATAATATGCTATAAGAGTGGCCACAGCTAGTTTACCCTCTGATATATATAATATGCTATAAGAGTGGCCACAACTAGTTTACCCTCTGATGTATATAATATGCTATAAGAGTGGCCACAGCTAGTTTACCCTCTGATGTATATAATATGCTATAAGAGCGGCCACAGCTAGTTTACCCTCTGATGTATATAATATGCTATAAGAGTGGCCCCAGCTAGTTTACCATTTGCAGTTTACAAAATACTCTGGCTCATTTGTCTGCAGGGTGTTTCCCTTGAGTCCCAGTGTGGTCAGCTGTGCTGTGAGAAGTGGACTCAACAATTCCCAAGTAAAGAACCAGCTGTAGATGGCACATTTTGTGGAGTCGGAAAGGTTAGCTCAATCTTGACACCATCGTCTTGATCTTATTCTAAATATAAGTACCATAAGTAAGAATTTGTCGATGGTCATTTTAGTTTCTCCAGTTTACTGAATTTTTGTTCTGGCATTTATACATTTTGTTGTATTTTGTTTATTTTAAAAATTAATTTTCCCTGAAGACAATTTCAACACAAAACAAGTAAAGTTATCTTGCATTTTTATGTAACAAATTGAACATGACTGTTTTTAAAGTGCTCTGTTAATTCATGTAAATGGTGTGTGTGGCCGAGCGGTCTAAACTGTCTCAAACCAAATCCCCACCAAAGCCAACCTCCCAGACACCCCGGGTGGATGGGGCTCGTTAGCCTTGGACGGCAACCAATCTAAGAGAAGGCAAACTCTGAATTCAAACCAGGAGCCAGAATGATCAACAAATTGTTCGTGGGCCCCTCAAATATAAGAAGAAGAAGAAATGTACATTTATTTGTTTACATTAAATTTATGCTTTTTTTTTTTTTACTTTCAGAGTCTTTAAAAACTTTTTATTTAAAAAAAACAAAAAACTTCCAGTCTTTGGTGCGATGCTGTTCAAAGTTAAAATTTGGACAAAAATTGTTAAAACTCTGTTTGTAACCTGTTGTTGTTTCTGGCCCTATAGCCTTACTGTTTTTGTTTTTTTTTGTCTTCAGATGTGCTACGATGGCGAGTGTGTAACTAAAAGAGTTGGACAATGATAAGTTTGACCAAATGCTGATCAAACGACTCTTCAATGTTCAATACTCTAGCATGGTCCTGCAGATGTAGGATCAGCCCATTTTACATTTTAGTTTGTCCACACGGAGACCGGAGACCGTTCAGATTTAGGATGAAACGTTCTCTCTCTCTTTTTTTTTAATCTTTAATGAAATTTATTTTAACAACATTCTTTTTTTCTTCTTCTTTTTTCCCCCTCTCTTACTGAGGTCAAATAACACAGAGTGAACACAGTGGGGATTAGCTGTTTGTAGCCAATCAAAACCAGACTAAAAGATAGCCACACAGCATGAAATATGTAATACTTTTAACGGTTGTCATCCTTTCTGCAGTGTCAAAAAGAAAAGTGTTTTTAGATAATTTGTTATCTTTACACAACTACAAAACAACATCAGTTGATCTTTACACAACTACAAAACAACATCAGTTGAACTTTACACAACTACAAAACAACATCAGTTGATCTTTACACAACTACAAAACAACATCAGTTGAACTTTACACAACTACAACAAAACAACATCTGTTGAACTTTACACAACTACAACAAAACAACATCTGTTGATCTTTTTTTTTTTAAATAGTAAAAATCCTCTGAAATTTAATTAGTCATCAACTTATTGATGTCAATTTAATTTTAAATATGGATATAAAGCATAAAGTTATATTCAACCTTGAAATAAAGATAAATTTAATGCTAAAAAAAAGATTGATTATACAATTGACGATTGCTGACATATTCTTGTTCCACTTTGTCAAACACTACCACTTTACTCCTTACACAATCACTTTACTCCTTACACAAACACTTTATTCCTTACACAGCCACTTTATTTCATTAGCCTCAACTTTCCTAAAAGCTCATCATATTTATTCCTTACACAGCCACTTTATTTCATTAGCCTCAACTTTCCTAAAAGCTCATCATATTTATTCCTTACACAACCACTTTATTTCATTAGCCTCAACTTTCCTAAAAGCTCATCATATTTATTCCTTACACAACCACTTTATTTCATTAGCCTCAACTTTCCTAAAAGCTCATCATATTTATTCCTTACACAACCACTTTATTTCATTAGCCTCAACTTTCCTAAAAGCTCATCATATTTATTCCTTACACAGCCACTTTATTTCATTAGCCTCAACTTTCCTAAAAGCTCATCATATTTATTCCTTACACAGCCACTTTATTTCATTAGCCTCAACTTTCCTAAAAGCTCATCATATTTATTCCCTACACACTCGCTTTTTTTACAATATTTTTTTTTGACTCCTTAAACATTTCACTTTCTGCACAACCGCCTTACTCACGTATCAACAGCTTTACTTCCTAAACAGCCACCGTACTTGGTTATTAATGACTACACTCCCTACACATCCTTTACCCAACCATCACATCTGCTGGGTTTTTCTCAATGAGCGTAAGGATCTTATTGTAAAGATTCACAGCTTCCTTCCGCCCAGGACTGGCCAATTGGGAGGCTTTGTTGATCTTCAAAATCTTCGGCTGTGCTGCGCTGAAAGGCTCCCACTTGACCGCACCAGCAGGCACAGTCGATGTGGGGTCACCAGTCTTGGCGAAGTTGGTCCACAGGGCGATGACTTGATCCGACACCTGAAGGTCGTCTTGAGTCGGAGGATTCGCACTAGACCAAAGGGGGAATGAAAAGATTTGGAAGACGAAACTCAACTCGTCCGCATGCTCGGCGGCTGCCCAGGAAGGCAGGAAACTGATGCTTCTTCTGTAATTGAACTCATACAAATAGTGCTTCTTGTCCGGTGTCGCCTCAAATGCGGCATTGGTTTCAATGAGTGCGGGTGCGATGAATGCGAAATCTGTAGCAGCATCCGATGCCTGCTTAAGGGTGAGTTGGGGGTCAGTCACATTGGTCAAATATACGTCTTCAAACATTTGGACAGCTGCATCAAGATCTGGAAATTGAAAGGGGGAAAGCCTTTCCTTGAGAAATTCCCTGAACTCATCTCTGGTTGCTGCTGCTGCGAAATTGTCTGTTAACCCACCGGCTTCGTTGGTGTTGAACCCTCTGATGACGTCGATGTGATCGTATTGACCGCTGGTCAGAAGTTTCAGAGGAGTCTCCGGAAGTACACCAAACGTTTGTTCAACCCGGGGTACTAAGATCATTCCCAAGTTTTGTGAATCATGAACTTCAGCGCTTGCGTCGAGAAGGTCATTAAGAGGAACACTTTGAAGACAGGCGACAAATGTGTCAGTGTCTCCCAGAGTGCAGTTTACTTTATCTCCAATAAGGGAAGCTATCTTTCGTGGCGGTAAACTGGTCGCCGGGTAGGTTATTGCCCATGGAGCTAACTGTGACCCACTTTCCATGATGGCCCGTTTGAAAAGACCTCTGGTCAGGGGAGAAACTGTGAGAAGGGACACACTCAGTGACCCGGCGCTTTCCCCGAAAATAGTCACCTGGTTTGGATCGCCCCCGAAATTCCCGATGTTTTCTTTGACCCACTTCAGCGCCAAAATCTGGTCCAGAAGCCCGTAGTTGCCTGGTAGGGTGGAATCTTCTGTACTCAAAAATCCAAAAGCGTCAAGCCTGTAGTTGAAATTCACCACAACCACCCCCTTTTTGGCCAGGGCCGTACCATCGTAGAGATACCCTGTCCCCGTAAGGAAAGCCCCACCGTAAATCCAGACCATGACGGGTAGCTGGGACCCGACCTCAGCCGTGGCCGGAGCGTAGATGTTCAAGTAAAGACAATCCTCGCTAGGGTTAAATTTGATAGCGAGTTTGTCCAAGTTAAACTTGAGTTTCTGGGGACAATCCGCGGGCTTGTTAAAGGCATCTCGAGTTCCTGTCCATGGGTCGACTGGCTGGGGCTGTTTAAAACGTAGTTTCCCTGAGGTCAAGAAGATAAAATATGAAGTTACAAAGGACAGCCTGCTTTTGTATACTGTTCCAAAAGATTTTGAGCCATAAATTATTCTCGCTGAATGTGATAAGTATTTGCAAAACTAAAACATAAAGGTTTTAAACCCGTATAAAATATTTTAGCTCACAATTTCGACCAAGACAATGTAAAGTTAATAAGACAGTTTCCACATGGCTTCATCGTTGTATTTTAGTTTTAAAGTAAATACCAAAATATTCTTGATTTAAAATTGATTCGAAAACGCAAAATGGATTGGTTACGTTCAAAGAATCCCAACATTTTATGTAGAAATTTTCTCTATGTCATTAGATAATCAAATAACTTTACTGCATGGTCATAAATGAAACAAATTTTCTCACTGCTTTTACACTGGACAGCACGCATGGGGTAGTGGCCAGTAAAAATTTGTTTATTATTTATGAGAATAATTTTAGATTGATTTTGAGTGTCCAGGAAATCGGTGAGGGGGCAACATTTCTAGGTCCAGCCCCTATAAAATATTTATGGATTCAGAAAAAATTAACCTTAAAAAAACAAAAACAACCAACAACCAACCACCAACACGCTCTTTAAAGACAACAGTTGATTTACCTGAGGTTGGCTTGCCAAAAGGTATGGCGGTAAATTTGTTGATCTTGTGAGTTCCATTTCCCTCGGATACCCCCCTGACCTGTCCATATTTAGTCGACCTGACGACATACTGGTCGTCTGCCAACGATTGGCCTTCTTCTAGGATGACCGCACACCAGGCCATGACCCCAGCGAACAGCCTCAAAGTGAACGGTTGTCTCATTTCTGCATTGGTTTAAAAAAAAAAAAATGTTCTCTTCCTTACTTGTTCTCGTCTTTAAAGCAAGACAGCTGTCAAACAGTCTTTTTTTTTTTTTTGGTTATACTTTCATGTCAGGGGTTCTGGCCGCACCGCCATGGGGGGAGTGAGTTGACCCAGAAATGGTTTAAGGAAAGGAAACAAAATCCCCAAAACAAGCTCAACAGAAAGAATGGTCACTTTGATTACTGGCCGCGGATGTTTTTGTGGAGAACTTATTTGGCACACTGTTTATACTGGTACACATTTTTTCAACACGTTAATTTAAGAAAGAGAACTACCATAGCTGAATTATTTGATTAATTTTTGTATTATAATATTCCGGTATTGGGGAAAAGGGGGGGGGGGTGCGTGCAGGATATATTTTTAAATGAACGGGGTTACAAGTTGGTTTCAACGTTGTCCAAAATGTTAAAAACTAGGCCGGAGCCGGGTACCGACCCTTATACCCGGGAATGCCGAGTATAGCACACCCGGCACCCACAAGGACCCGGCAAAAAATAGAACCGGGTTCGGGTGGAAAAAAAAAAAGAAAAAGAATGATCTTCTC